GGAGGCAGGAAAAAGAAAGGACACATTCCACCCATCAGGGAAGGAATACCGCCTTACATCCCCAGGTGGAAAAGGATAACCCATGAGTAAGCACCCAGTGGGGCTGGCACTTAGTAGGTTTGCAGTTCATATGAAGGAATGAAAATCAGTGTCTACATTCCAGTCTCTAGATCTGGGGTTCTTGGAGGTGGAAAGGCATGGGAATTTGCTGAAATCTGAAATGGGAGCCTGACCCAGATGGGGGTCAGGAATTTGTTTCCTTCCCTTTTTCTCCTTCTTAGGGAAAGCTTAGTTCGCGGCCTAGGATGAAAAATGACATCCAGATGAAGGAAAGAAGGATCACCAGGAATGATAAATAATACTCTCCAGATGTGGCTTCCGCGCTCTGCATTGGACGAGCCCTGCTGCCTCCAGCCACCTTGGGGGGACCCCCTGCTCAGCACGGCGGCAGCGACACGTTTCCGTAACTCCTCTTCCGGAATAGTCTTCAGGGTGTGCAACTCCGGTTTTGAATGTCCCTTATTGGTGACAAATCTTCATTGTTTGCTTTTTGGAAATCAGTCAAAAAATAATCTATAGTTAACAATGGTTATCTTGACTGTTTTGTAAAATGACTCTAAAGCCCATTCTTAAAGGAGACTGCAGAAATGCTTTAATCAATAGAGGTGCATAGAGGGTAAGTGTATGTCCTCCTAAGGTGACATATGGTTTTGAAGGACAACCCTGGTTTGTTCGCCCATGACTGTTTAAGAAGCTAATCACAGATATATATCCCATATTGTGTTCTATATAATAAAATGATATAATAAAGGCATTATGATGTTGAAGGCTGTATGCTAACCACTTTAAGGCCTCTGACTATATATAATGCACTTGCTTTGGCCAAGGGAGGGAGGGACTGGAGAGGCACAGGGCAGACCCAAGTGAAGAATGGGTACAATTATCCAGGGTGAAGGTTTGGACCCCCAGCTACACTTAAGAGTTGCCTAACTCTGCCTTCCTCTCTGGACCAGCTCTGCGTCTGGTCAGCGGGACAGTGTGCGTGGTTCTTTCTCAGCGGGAGAGCCCTGTCTTGTCCTGGCCCCGTCATTCACCTGCAGAAATCATCATGAAGGTCTGAGAGAAGGAACCTGCTGGTTCATGAATTGTGTTAAAATGTATTTTTTCAGAAAAATGTGTGTGGGTCGGGGGGTGAGGTCAAAATGAACCTACACAGCAAATCTGCTTATAATAATTATTAGTTAACCTAAATGAAGAACTCTCCATGGAAGTTTCTAGGAAGTTTCCTAGGGAAGACCAGGAGGAAATGGGGGAGCACCAGGTCAGGGAGACGGGGGTCAGTCTCAGGATCACTTGTCTGCCTGGAGTGGTGTCCTCTGTCCATTTTGGAGACTCCTGGCTCTGGGCTTGGGGTGGGTGTGTGAGGTGGAGGGTGGGGGAGGTGGGTGTGACCGCCTGGGCTGGGGGGGAAGGGGGGACGGAATGACCTCCAGGAGGCCTAGCCAGGCAGAACGCTCGGTGCTCCTCCACTGATAACCAAGCTGCAAATCAGGAATTTATTAGGAGCTGAGACTCATTTTCCCACCCTTTATAGCCCTGACGACTCTGAGCCAAACTCTGGCAAGGGGCTTCCTCATGGTTTTAATTAGACAATTAATTTTTTATTGGGTCGTTTGATTTCTGGAGCCGATTTCACTCTCCCTCCTGTCCCCACCTGCCCCCCAGCTGTGAACAGCCAAGGGGAGCCAGGGGGGTTCAGGGAGGTGCAGAGAGAAACAATGCTGTCTGCCTTTGAGCTGTTTAGGCGGCAGGGAGTGGGGAGTGGGGAGGGAAGCGCTCTGCCCCCCTCAGCTGCTCTAGCACCAGAGACACTGTCCAGAGCTCAGACCTGGGCCTGCAGGGCCTGCACAAAGGCTTTCTCAGCTCCCCCTCCCAGCTTCTCCCAGGCTGTCGGGCTAATTAGTAAGCGGCGTGGGCGTGGGGGCAGGGAACAGGGCCGAGGTGCATTAGCAGCGTTTCTGCGGTTGATCCTGCCGTGCGTGCTTGGAGGCTGTTTACCCTCTACCCAGGGATTAGGAACCTGTTTGAGTTAGAAGGGCACAGAGAGGCCAGGGCTGGGCTCTGTCCCCCACCTGCTTTTAGGAGCTGGGGTGGGGGCGCTGAGCCAGCAGAAAAAAGAAGAAATCCAAGAAACCTGTCTCCAATCTATCTCCCTTATTGATCTCCCTGCCGCCCAGCTGCTGGCCTGCTTTTGAATCTTGATCCTCTCTGCTCCTGCTTCATCCCTGGGCATGGCCCTTTTTGTCAAATATCAATCTGGCTCAGAAAGGTGGGGAGGAAGGGAGTGTGGGGGGGCAGTGTTTAGCAGAGGGGATGAGCCCAGCGTGGAGGGGTCCCCTATGTCAGATGTGTTCCCTTGGAGGAGGGGGAGTCCCCTTCCAAGATGTCAGCCATCCCCTTACTCTACCCGGAAAGGAAGAGAAGGCCAGACTGTAGGGAGAACTTACTTTCAGCAGCAGAAGCAAGTAGCTCCTTCTTTAGAGCGTTATGATATGACAAGACCAGTGTTTTATTGAGAGCAATGCTGCTCCGCTGCTCCGAGGCCTTGGGATTGCAGGGAGTGAGAGACTGTTTCCTCAGGTGTCCTGTTGGTGGGGACATTGTCACTTGTTGTTCTAGCACAAGGATTCCTGAAAGTGCGCGCGCACACGCACACACACACACAGCGACATAGCTACTTAGAACCAAACTGACAGCACCTGCACACACAGAAGTGGGCTCTGAGGAGCCTCCGGGACAGGGCTCTGGGGCCCTCGCGGGTTGAACAAGCCCCCGAAGGAACACGCCAAGTTACCATTCACAGAGGGGGACTCTGGTGACCCCCCACTGCCCATGTTCTCCTCTTGTGTCAGTGCAACACCAGTGTTGGTGGATGTGTGGACCCTCCCGCCCGCCCCCACTGGGGTCTGAGAGCATAAGCTTCCCTTGGGGCCGGAGCGGAAAGAAATAGCGGCACAGATTTACACTGAAGTGTGAGGGGCAAAAAAGATAAAGGGCCCAGAGTGAAAGCGGCCCCAGCGCATGTGCAGACTCTGGAATCCAGGATTTGTGTTCTAACCAGATTTTCTTCTTTTTTCCTTGGAAAACTCACATTGAGTGATCCCTCCGCTAGGGCTCAAGATGGTCCCATGCTAGTGCCAGGGGCAGCCCCAGGACAGGCCTTCTTGGGACACAGTCCTGCCTCCGGCTGAGGGAGGCGCTGACAGCCTGTCCACCCCCCACCCCCCACCCCAAGCTGTGCAGATGGTGCTCGGCCCCGCTGGGGTGGCTTTGACCCAGGAACCAAGCCGTCGCTTGTTCGATACCTGGTCAGGGCACGTGCTGGGTTGTGGGCTGTGCAGGAGGCAACCAATCAACGATGTTCCTCTCTCATTGACATTTCTATCTCTCCATCCCTCTCCCTTCCTCTCTCTCTAAAAATCAATAAAACATATTTTTAAAAAGAAGAATGGTATTCAGAAATTCACAGAAGAAAGGGACAGAAAGGTTGAATATATTGGGGGGGGGGGGAGTGGGAAGGGAGGGTGGAGGCAGAGCAAACCCAAGATTATCCGTTGACATTTGTGCTTTCATGTGGCTTCAAGGTGGGGACTTCAGACCTTCGGACCCGGATCCCTAGGTGAAGGGCTGCAGTATGTGTGGGGGGATTTAGTGCAGGGACCCCTGGGACAGTGGGAACAAAGGGGCCAGGAGCCCAGGCAAACCTCTGTCAGAGAGGTCATCTGGGGGGTCGGGGCGTCAGCCTCCATCTGTAGGGACGGGGGGAGAGAAGAAATGGTAAAAATAGGAGAGAGAGAAGAAATAAAACTGAAGGCACTGAAACAGAGGAGCGAGCAAGCTAACGATGCGCACAAAGAGGCTGAGAAACACGTGTGAGCTTGGGAGCGGGTGGCGGGCAGCAGGAGGCGGGGAAGGGAGGGGGGTGGGGGGTCAGCAGCTGAAACAATCGGCCAGGCTTCTGCGTGGGAAGGTGGGCAGGAAAGCAGGGAGGGGAAGGGGCTGCAGAGAAAGCCCCCGCCTGTGGTGCAGAGGAGAAGGGTGGCGATGGAACTGCCCCTCCCAGCCCCAGGGCCACCAGCACCCCCCTGCCCTCTCCCTGAGCCCAGGGCTGAGATTGACGGGACTGCAGCTTCTCTGGGTCCTGGGTGGATTTGAATAATTAAGTCATCTGGATTCTTATGATTTACCATTTTCAATGATAAATAGACAGCGCCCAAGCCAGCCAGTTGGCAAAACTCTGGCTGCTAGTTATAATTTGTCAAGCTGCCAGCAGATTCATGTTTTATGCTAATGGAGAGAGACTCATTGACTAGGGGGAGGCAGTGACCGGGTCAGCTCTTTCCTCAGGCACCCCAGAGGTCGAGAGGTCAGGGGAGAAAGGCTGAGGCCAGTATGGATTTTCTGTAAGGGTCAGTGTAATTTTATAATAATTCAGCTGGTACACAGGCTTTTGCATACATGGAAGGTCATGTATGCAGACATATGCTCAGATCTGCATGCACAGCCCCCCCCCCCCCACACACGTGCACCTGCTCCTGTGCGGGCGTCTGGGCCCACTGCACACAGTCTGGGGCAGGAACACTTGTCCACCCCTCTTCAGCTCACTTGCACAGGCACAACCTTGCTGTCACCTTCAGGCATGTGATTATAGCAAGGAAAACCCGCAGCCTGCTTGCTCGGAAACCCAGAGGAGCACCTCCCGCCACACACACACACACACACACACACACACACACACACACACACATCCCGCACACCGCACACCTCAAAGATGGGGAGGGACCACTGGAGGACCCCTGTGCCTACCATCCCACCATCTCAGTCCCTTTATTTCAGGGCTTCCGGGTCTGCTGATCCCCGGGTGTGTTTTTCGCTCTAGTTGGGGAAACATGAGCCCCAGGACAGTCCTGGTTTTCAGCAGCTGGGTCTGGGGAGCTGGAGCTGGGAAGACAGGGGCTCTGAGACTGGCACATGGAAGGCTGTAAGCAACATCAGCTGAATCCAAACTTTCTTTCCCAGTGATTGGTTTATTTATGTATTTGTCCACACTCATTGAAGCCTCACACTGGCAAGAATCTTTTTGACAGTCGTGACAAACGGAGGCAGAGGCGATGCTTTGCACATACTACGTGCTAAATAAATATCGGTGGCATGAGCAGCTGAAGCTACTGACTTCTCGATGGAGCAGACTGCTCATCCCCCTTCTAGTCCTCCGTCTCACCAAACCGTCACCATCACTGGTCTGAGAGGCCAGAGAAGGGGTGCAGGTCTGGGTGAGGACCACCTATTCCTTGATGCGAGAAGTCTGGGTCTTTGGTGTGATAAAAAAAATGCTAATGTTATACCAATGGAAGCGATCTGGGCTCAATTTTGACCCCCAAATGCCCTCAAAATGGGTCAATGAGCAAGGGAGGCCTGAAGGAGCCTCCGCGGCTCCTCCGTGCCCAAGAGAGAATCTGAATTTGCTTCTGAGCAGGGCTGGGAGCTGCAGGTCCTTACCACCCGCTGCTTGGAGGTTTGGGGGACTATGGGGAAGGATTAGGGGCACGGAGAGAAACCTTTCATTCCCGTTCCCCACCCCACCCCACCCCCCAAGCAAGGGGACAAAAGCACAACAGCAAACTGAACAGAGAAGAGGCCCAGGCACACGGAGAACCGAAGGCAGAAGCTGCTTCCAGCGTCAGGCTCTAGGCGGCAGCGGCAGCTGCAGGCTCTGCTCAGACATCCAGGTCCCAAGAAGTGAATTGGGCTCCTCCTTCCCAGCCGGGCCAGGTAGGGGCACGGGAGCGGCTCAGGGCAGATGTCTGCATCCGCTCTACCAAGGCCTGGAGTGAGCGACCTCCCTTCTTTGCTCTCTTCTGGGCAGATGTGGATGGCGGTGGGCCTGGCCAGTCAGGGCTGGAGAGACGGCCAAGAGCCAGAATCAACCAGCCTCTCCATCCAAGAACAGGGAAATAGGCCTTACTTACTTAACAGTTTAAGGCACTGACCTGGCATCACTGACCTCACCTCCCTGCACCAAGGTGAGTTCCTACAGACCCTCACTCACCCTGTGAGCGCAACGGCCTGGGGGCAACAGCAACTCCCCCCCGCAGGGGCTGGGGCAGGCCTGCAGATGGCTGGAGGTGAGGAAGGATGTTCTGGAATGATACAGGGATATGATGGTAATAAGCATGACTGACACAGAAAACAAGTTGGTTCATCCCACACCTGATCAGCAAGCTTACCCCACATCATTTTGCCCTTTACTTTCAATCCCAATATTTGCAACCACATAATGAACTCTGGGGGGCTCATGTTAGCTTGCCTAAAAGTCTCAGAACAAAGCCTCTGGGATACAAAGATAGTATATACAAGAACCAATCTTGGACTAGATCAGTGGTTCTCAACCTGTGGGTCGCGACCCCTTTGGGGGTCGAATGATCCTTTCACAGGGGTCGCCTAAGACCATCGGAAAACACATATATAATTACATATTGTTTTTGTGATTAATCACTATGCTTTAATTATGTTCAATTTGTAACAATGAAAATACACCCTGCATATCAAATATTTACATTACGATTCATAACAGTAGCAAAATTACAGTTATGAAGTAGCAACGAAAATAATTTTATGGTTGGGGGTCACCACAGCATGAGGAACTGTATTAAAGGGTCGCAGCATTAGGAAGGTTGAGAACCACTGGACTAGATGGAGAGAGAGAGAGAAACAGAAAGGAAGGGAGGGAGGGTGGGAGAGAGATAGATAGAGAGAGAGAGAAAGAGAGAGAGAGAAGAAGAAGAAAGGAAGGAAGGAAGGAAGGAAGGAAGGAAGGAAGGAAGGAAGGAAGGAAGGCAAAAAGCTCAAGAACAGGGGAGGAAAGCTGAAAGAGCAATAAGCAGTGCTGGGAAGCACAGGACTGAGGCCCCCTAAGGGGGAACTGCTGGGTATCCTGTGGACATGGCTTTCCAGCCGGTTTGAGGGTCCTTTAGCCCATCCTCAAGGACTGCACTGTCCTTGGAAGACCTGACTGACCTCAGTGACCTGCCCCATCCCATTTTGGAAAAACAAAGGGGTGGTCTAATTGGCTCTAACTGCGAAATTCCCTCCCCCCAGCACTTGAACTGGGTGTGGAGTGCAGGCCCAATGCGCTCAGACACACAGCCACCCCAAGCTGAGCTCCCCCACAAGCTGAATCTAAAGCCACTTTGCCAATTAATCTCTGTGTGTGTATGAGTTCAGTGAGATATACTGCAAATCTAAGTCTGCTTGCCCTGGTAGGGAATGTCCTCATTCTCTATCAAGAGTGAGGTTCTCTGGCTCCTCCAGCACTTGCAAGACTCATGCCAAGCTCTTTACAGATCAATCCCAGCCCTTCTGGTGAGAAGAAATGCCCTGGCCTGGCCGCGTCTCTGAGGCCGGGATGGAGAGAAAGATGGCAAAGGGGGAAGACGTTTCTTCTCACAAGGAAGAAAGTGAAGATGCCTTTCCCAGGGGCGACCAGGCCTGTGTTCGCCCCTCTCTCACCTGCACATACACAGGCAGGCTCACCGAGATTCCAGAAGGACCTCCCGTGCAGAAAGCCCATTCCACATGTGGCCAAAGGAGGCCTAAGTTCTCAGAGTCAGAGCCTTACCAAAGAACAAAGCAGCCCAGTCTGCAGTCAGCCTCGGCCAGCAAGGTCTGAGTGGAGGCACTAGGGGCAGGGGCCACGGGAGAGGGGACTGGGTCTAGGAGAGGGGCCCACCGCCTGCCCCTCTCTCAACTGCCTCTTCTGCTTCCTGTGTTGATTTGGGAACTAGGCCTTGACCTGCTGAGCCTCACGGCTTGCCCAGCTGAGGCAGGAGGAGCTAGGTCAGCTGCTTCTATGGAGAAGCTGGTGGCAGGAGGCCTGGGTGGGCCCTGGCGCTGGGGTAACGGTGGTGGTGGTAGGTCAGGGCAAAGCTGCCTGGGGTACCGCACAGTGGGGCGATCTGGTCCCTTCCTTACCCCACGGGGCTTCTCCCTGCCCACTCTTCACCTTGTGCCTTCCCTGCCTCTGCCCCTCCCAAGTGGGTTCCCCTTCATGCTAATTCGGTTTTGTTCTCTCTCCTCTTTCCTTTTCTCTCTCTGTATCTTTATATTATGTTCCCTTCCTTCTTTTGCTTTCTTTCTGCCGTACCTCCCCCTTTCCCCTCTATATTCTTCCTTTCCTCGACCTTTCCTTCCTCTTACCCTTTCTCCTATCTTTCTTCCTTTCTTTTCTATCTCATTTCTCATTCTCCTTTCTCATTCTCCCCTCCATTTCTTTTTTATTTTAATTTTTTAAATTTCTTTTCCTTCCCTTTTCTTTTATTTTCTAGCTCCCTCCTTTTATTAATTTGTTCTTTCTTTCCTTCTCTTTGTGTCCTTTCTGCTTTTGTTCATCATAAAACTAACTAATCCCGCTTGTTCATTCTGTCCTTTGTCAATATTCCTTCATCTCTCTCCCAGCCGCCCTCCCGGGGACCCCTCCTCTACCCCAGCATTAGGGCTTTCTCAAATGGTTTCTTCCCTCACCCGTCTTTTTCTCTTTGTTGTTCTCAAATTTTCCAGTCCTTAGTGCTGTTTCCCTGACCTTCTTTCTATCTTCCTTTGTTTCTCCATCCTCTCTCTGCAGCAGGCATATGGCGTGAAACGGCCCCTCCCCAAGTCAGGGCTTCTGTCCTGTGTCAGCCCAGCCACCCTTCATGCCATTCCTTCTCATCTTCCTTCAACTTGGGGTTCAGTCTCAAAGGCTCAGGAATGGCGCTGTTTCCCTAGTTGAGAGGTCAGGGCGGGGTCCACAGCTCCCCACTACAGGCTCCGGGGAGCCTTGCCAAACTGCCAAACTGCCAAACTGCCAATCTAATTGAAAAGAGAAGAAAGGAAAGGGTAAAAGAGAGAGAACCCCATAGCTTGTGGGGTGAGGGGTAGAGGCAGTGTTGGGGAGGCAAAAGGTATTGGTTTCATCAGAGAGGGAAGGGGCAGAGCCCAGAGCCAGGTGCCTCCCTCGCACACCCATAGCCCCGCAGCCAGCCAGCCGCCTCCCTGCTGCAAAAGAGGCCTCAGGCGGCTGCAGTTAATTTGGGGATGGGGTGGGGTGAGATCTTCCAGCAGCGCCTCTGAGTGGAGGGGTGCGCAGGGTAGCAAGGTGGGAGGAAAGGAAGGGCTTACTTTAGTTCTATCGGTCACCTTCCTGTTGCCCCTGGACTTGCCCTTCGCAAGGCCCAGGGTTTTGGAGACCACACTTCAGGCAGTGTTGGCCGTGGCCTCCTGAACCCCTCCGCTAGGCAGGCCCAATCCCGGGGCAGCGCCGGGTCACCCTCAGAAAAACACCGGGTGCAGCGAAAACAAAGGCCTGGGCGCACTGGCAGCTTTGCAGCCCCTGACACAGCAGGGACCAGCGGCCCCTGGAATTGCAGGCGTGGGCGCGGTCGGGGCCAGAGACAGCTCGGTGTGGACACAGCCTCCCGGGGGCCCTCCCAAAAGGCGGCCCAAATGCGCGGCTGCCGCCTGCCGGTTCCCGGGGCTGCACCGCCAAACGCGGGCGCAGCGGAGACTCCCCGCCCCGGCCGGCCTCAGAGCTCGTGGGCCTCGCCTGCACCTGCCGCGCCCCCGCCCGCGCCTTCCCAGATGGCCACCCGCTGGCCCCGGCAGGCCAACACCCCCACTCGGGCCGGGCCCCCCATTTCAGCTGTGCCCTCTGAACGCCCCCTCTGCCCTTGACTCCCTTTTGCAGAGCCCCCTCCATCATTCCTCGGGGGATTTTTTTTTGGGGGGGGTGCGACCTCAGCCCCGGGACGGCAGAGGGCTCTCCCTGCCCTTCCTTGTGAGCTGCAGAAAGTCGGGGGTTATGCTGGGGGCGGGGGCGCACTCCCCTGCCTCCGTCTTAGGGACATGGGTCTGAGTCAAATTGGACTTAAAAGAAGAAGGTATGTGGGAGTTGTCCCCTCTCCGTGTCACTCCTGGTTTAAAACCAGGGGAAGCTCCCGGGGGCGGCAGGGGCCGGGGCTGTCCTGGGCGGAGGCTCTGGGCCGGTACCGCCCCCCCCCCCCCCCCCCCGCGCCCGGCAGAGTTGGCAGCCGCTTTCTCAGCCAGAACTTGTCTCCCTTCCAGCGAGGCCCCGCGGGGATCTCTAAGCGTCTCTAAGGGCCTGTGGGGCGGACAGGTTCGGGACCGCCCGGGGTTCCTACCTCGGTCATCAGCCCTGAGCGGGAAACCAGCAAACGCACCCTTCCTGCCACAGAGGAAGCAGGTCGCCCCGCTCCCACTTTAAACCTCAGACCCCCAACTCTGCCCCCGTCTGCGCATCCCTTCAAAAAACTTTTCTGAAGTTCCCGCAAGTTGCGTTTGGGGACAGAAGTAGCCACTCCCAGACTCTCTGGGTCTTTAGGCCCCAAGTTCTCTCGTCCTCCCGGTTCAGAAGCGGCCAGCGGCCAGCGGCCCTCAAACCCGGAGCAGAGCTGCTCTGGCCCCACGCGCGTGACAGGTGCCCGAGCCCGGCCTGTCCCTCCGAGGTGGGCAGGGTCGGTCTGCCTGCAGGGTGACGGGATGGAGCAAGGAGGAGAGAGGCGGGGAGAGACCTTGTTTTCAGGCTAAAGCGCAGCCCTCCAGGGCCCAACTCACCTGCTCCGGACCGGCTCCTCTTGGTTTTTATCCGCTCAAAAGTTTGCGCTCTCACACGGTCCCGGGAGGGGCGCGAGCTCGGCCGTCGGGGTGAGGAGGGCGCCCCCGAGGGCGCAGGCGCCCCAGGGAAGTAGGAGTCGGGTGCACCGTCCCTGAAGTGGAGGCTGAAGCAGCGACCCGGAGAGGGAACAGGCCAGCGTCCAGGGCCGGGGTCAGGCCGTAAGCCCTGGGCTGCCGGGACGGAGCGGGCGCTATGGACGGAGTGTTCAGCGGGGCTGGCCCGCCGGGGAGCTGGGAGGAGAGGGCCCTGGGTTCTGGGTGACGTTTCTCGCTTCCTCCAGTTTGTGTCGTCCCGGGTGTGTCCCGGCCCACAACATTCCCTCGACCCCTCTGGCGCGGCACTCAGGGCTGGGACAAGGCGGGGAGGGGGCGAAGAGACCCCGGTAGCCCCTCCCCAGCCCCCGCGCCACCACTCCCCCCTCCCTTCCCTGCTCAGAGCCAAGGGACAGACAGAGAATTGCAACTAGAAAGTCGATCGATTGGTACGAGGGACCACGTGGTCCGAGGCTGGCCAATGACCAGGCCGCCCGGGATGAGCTAATAATGGAAGCAATTTGTAACTTTCAGTAGCTCCAGCGGCCTGGGTACCGGAGGGAGGCGGGCGGAGGTGGGGAGAAGGGTACCCCCAGTCCTGCCACTCTCCTCACTCGCCCAGGGACACCCAGATGCCCTGTTCCTCCTTTCCCCCAACACGCAGGCCACTTCTGTCGGGCGGCGGCTCCAGAGCAAGGTAAGCGGTCCTCCGCCCTCAGACACTCCTCCCCCCATCCTTCTGGCACCTGCCAACAACGTCCCTTCCTACCCCACTGGACAATTTAAATCTGATTTTGTTTTTCTCTTAGTTGACACACACACACACACAATTCTTTTGTATTTTTTGTATAATCTATTTCAGATTTGGGGAAAGATTAAGTTCAGATTAATGTACTTTTGGGGGGGGGGTGAGTGGTACTTTTTGGGTAAGTTTTCCCTTCTTTTGGAGAGGAGCATTCTACTTAGGGAAAGTTTACTTTTCTTTGGGGATGAGTTGCACCTTATGCTTTCGGAGGCTTAATTTCTCGAATGATGTCAAGTTCACGCCTTTCTCCAACCCATCTTCCAATTTCAATATTTACAATCACTTAACAGATTTCAAGTTTATTCATTTGTTTTTCTTCTCCCTCAGCAGTTTTTCAGCTGTTACCGAATCTCCTTGATTTCTTTCCTCCATGGGTGGCCCGAGAGTTAGTTTTGTGTTGATTCCTCTTTTTGTTTTGTAAACGAATTTATTGTTTGGGAAACTGTATGGGGGTGTGAACAAGGTCTCTTTTGATTAATTCCAACGCCGCCTCTTTTGAAGAACAATTTACTTGAAGCGTTTTATATATTGTCCTCGTTTTTGTTTAATTGTGTCTCGTTTTGTTGTGCTGTATTTTACCTCCTTTTAAAATCTGATCTGTTCGTTGATCTTTCTAATGTTAAACCATTCCGAAAGTTTTCATTTTATAAACTTCACTCTTTTGTATATTTCCTTCCCTAACCCCCTTTGCCCTGCGGCCTCCTCCATCTCAAGCCCCCCACTGTCAACTTCCACAATTCCCAGCTTCAGATTTGACTCACCCTCCCAGCCAAAGAGGGACGTCTGGGAAGAAAAAAATGTCCTACTGTGTTAGAGACGACACTCGGGGCTCTAGTTCTGGGCACCTCTAGTCTGACCCCCCAAGCCAGCAGACTCAGGGAGAGCAGAATTTCTGTCCTCTTTCTAAGCTCTTTCTCCTGGGCTCTATTCTGGGCAACTCTCTGGTACTTAAAGTTAAATTATTAATTCTCATCTTTCCCCTAAGTTTTAGGGAAAGTACAAGAAGATATCTTTTCTCCCCTAAATATAAGCTATTAGCTTGGGGTCAGCCTGCTGGGGCTCTTCCCTCCTGGGAGAGGATTCCCAGAAGAGACACACAATGTTTAGCGCCCCCCTCCTCAAAAAAAAAATTTTTTTTTAACTTGTGACTGAGGTGGAGCTGGCAGGGACTGAGAAACCCCATTTTGATCTTCGGCCCTGGCTTTGAACGGACACAAAGAAGAAGAAAGAGCTGATCCCTTCTTGCCAGTGAGTTCTGGCTTAAGAGAGCTTTGGGTACATCCCAGCTCTGAGGACATTCTTTTTAGTGAAATAAACCATTAAGTGATTTCAGCCTCTTCAGAGTCATTGCAGGTACAAAAACCAAATTAGGAGAGTAATCTGTTCCCCGAAGACCTGCCTCTGGTGACTTTTTTCATTCCTCTGAGGGAAACAGAACCCAACTGGGCAGAAGTAAAACTGCCACCGTTCCTCCCTCTGCTGCTCCCGGTGCTCAATCCCGGCTGTCTCATTGGCATTCCAGGCACATCCCGCCCAGCCCCCGTCCCAGCTTCTCCCAAGTATGAATCTAAATTACTATTAATAAGGGGCCGCTCCAAGTTAATTGGCATTAAAAGAATTCATTTCAATTTGTTAATATTAAATGAATGCTCTGCACTTTAGCTCCCTTCTTCGCTCTGGCATCCCAGATGAGTGATGGGAAGTGAAGGTGGGGGAGCCCAATGAGGATTTTATTTCTGACGCTCCAGCTCTGCCACTGCGGTGCCTCCCCAGGGCGGGAGATCAAGGCGCAGTGGGGGGACTCTGACGACCTCTCTGGTGAAATTCATCTGAATCAGCTGGCGCTGGGGGGAGGGGGGAAGGGGGTCGAGGGAGAGGGACGGAAAGGTGTGGGAGACATTGAGGGGGAGGGGAGGGACTGGAGGGAAAGCTGGGAGGAAGGGACAGAAGTGGACTGGAGTACTTGGAGGACAAGGTTTGTGAGCTGGGGGGTAGAGCAGATTTGTAAAGGAAGGTGCTGACAGTTGAAAACCCCGCCCAGAGAAGGAGGAGCTGGGGGTGTGGGCGGGGTTGTGAGGCAAGGCAGGTAGGGGTTCTGAAGCTGTGGAGCTGTGTGATTTTAGGCAAGTTGCTTAACTTTTCTCTCTGCCTTAAGCTTCTTGATCTGTACAACTGGGATGATGATAATAGTATCTATCTCAGGGCGGCATTTGGGATTAGGTGAAATACATGTAATATGCTTGGCACATAGAAACCACCAGTAAATGTTACCTCTTGCCCTGGCCGGTTTAGCTCAGTGGATGCAGCATCGGCCTGCAGACTGAAGGGTCCCGGGTTGGATTCTGGTCAAGGGCACATGCCTGGGTTTCAGACTCAGATCCCCAGTGGGGGGCATGCAGGAGGCAGCTGATCAATTGATGTTTTTCTCTCTCTCTTCCTCTCCCTTCCTCTCTGAAATCAATAAAAATATATTAAAAAATAAATGTTACCTCTTCTTATTATAGTGCAGTGGTTAGAAGCATGGATTCTGGGGCCACGCTGCCTGATTTGGACTCTCAGTCCTGCCTTATACTAGCTGCATGACCTTGGGCAAGTTACTCAACCTCTCCATACTTTTTTAGTTTCCTGTCTGGAGAATGGAGTTAATAGCTCAGAGGCTGTTGTGAGGATTAAATGAGTTAATACAAGTGCCTACAACAATGTCAGTCATGTAGGAAGCCCTATATAATCGTTAGTTGTTATTTTTTAAAATAATTTTTTATAGTTCACCGTTGATGTTGCTTTTCTGGTCTGAGAAGGTTGGAGATAGGGGCATAGAACCTCTTAGAGGTTGAGAGCTCAGTGGATTCTCTGAGACCGTGATCAGATCCATCCCTGAATCTGGTCTAACAACTGGGCTGCCTGTGGCGAGGGCAGGGAGAGTGAGACTGGGAGCTGGGATGCCCTGGGACTGAGTTCTCCCCCGGCCTCTGTTCTGGTTCTTGGGTTGGTGATCCTTTGCCAGTGCCCACAGACTTCAGGGGAGGTCAGTGCTTTCCCTTGGGAGGGCTATGACAGCTCCCTTCGGTAGAATCACCTCTGCAGTGCGGATTGGGGGAGGTTGGACAGAGACTGACATTTACTAAACACCCTCTGAGTATGGGCCAACCCCCACACATGTGACCCCACTTGAGAGGGTGAAGAAAACACAGGGCTAAGTAGATGCAGTGACTTGCCAAAGACATAAAGCTACGAAAGTGGCAGAGTTGGGATTTGAACTCTGATTTGCCTGATGACAAGTCTTAACTCCCTTCCACTGCTGTACATTTTCTGAAGGGGGAGGTGAGACCCATGTACATTTGGAACCAGACAAGGCCAGGACCACCGGGCAATGGGGAGATGGGGGGGTGGAGGGAGGGGAGTAAGGGTGGGAAGAGGCCAAGTGGGAATGTTTCAGTCACAGAAGACTTCCTGGAGGAGAAAAGTGTAGATCAGGGTTCAGATGGGAAAGGAATGAGGATACCAATAAAGAAGGGGGGGGGGAGTGGTGCATTGGCAAGGAAGGGGAAGAAGAAAGGGCTATTCAGAGGCTGAGTGAGTGAAGCCAAGGGAAATAAATCTGATTTGCCTGGGGTCTGCCTTGGTGGCACCAAGTAAAATCAGTTACCATGTACTGAGAGCCTCCTGTGTTCCAGCTTATACATTATCCCCTTTAATTCTCACAGCCACCCTGACAAGTGCATTTCCATTCTTATGTCCGAAAGAGTTACTTGAGGCCCAGAGGCCTTAGTCCCCACTTCAGGCCACACGTTGGGTTTGCCTGGCACAGAAACCCATGGCTGGGCTGCCTGCAAAGCATGTCTTGCCTTCCATTCTAGTTCAGGTTGTCCTGCCTCCCCACATGTGTAGTCACACCTACTGATGGGAACAGGCTTAGAGAGTGGGATGAGACCGAGCGGATGGCCAGCAGGCAGTGGAACAGAAACCTTCCTCACAGCCTAGTGAGGAAAATGGGTGGAAGGGTATTCTCTCTGGAGTGAGACCTCCAATGACTTTTCCAGGGTGGATGGTGGGACCTCATTGGGGATCACATTATTTTCTGGGCTGTGGACTATGGGGAGGGGAGGAAAAGAGGGCAGCTCAGGTGTGGGTTTGAGCCCTGGATTAAGACCGCCAGTTGTCCACTAAAGTCCCATCTCTCCTTGTTGTATGAGGGCAGAGAGCCTCCCAGCTGGATACTCCAGTTCCCAGCTGCCCTTGCTGCAAGGTGTGGCCAGAGCAGAATATGAGCCGAGTAACATCAAAGCCTTAACACGCTGGGTAAGTTCTCCTTTTTATGAGCTCAACCAGATGCACCTGAGCCTGAGCTTTGACTGCAATTGAGGCGAAATCCCCAAGAGGGGGCAAAGCCACAATCTGATTGGAACCCAAGTTCCTGACCGACCAAGTGGAGCAGAGCTGCCTGCCGTCCAGGACTGCTCCCTTCCAGACTGTTCCGTGAGAAATAAACTTGTTTTCTAGATGTGACTGTGTTTTGGACCTTTTTGTTATAGCACCTTTGCCCATCATCCTTTCTATTATACTTTCCACACAGATTTGTCAGTTCAAACCCACCAGCTGGATTACATCAGAACATGGAATAATTATAGTAACATTTATTGAGTGCCAGAGATTACACATATTATTTAATATTATTATCCTCATGACAGTCTTCTGAGATAGGCATCACTATTATTTCAGTATACAGATAAGAACACTGAGGCCCAAAAGAGATAAGTGATATGCCAATGGACACGTAGTAGGTGGTAGACCTGGGATGCCAACCCACAGAGCGTGCAGAGCTTGAACCCTTCACCATGGGACAAATCTCTTCTTGAGGGCAGAGATGTAAAGGCCTTGGAGATCATGCTATGCTTGGCCAAGCCTCTTTATAGTCACCACAGGGCCCGGGCATCTCCCACCCTCATTTCAACCCAAGAAGTTTGGCAGACACCATGTTAGATGTTGGGTTGCTACACAGGTTTTATTTGAGGAAAGGACCACACACTAGAACCAGTTTGAAAACCCCTGATAATTTCAACCCTCCCCCATTTTTTTATTATAATGAAGCTAAGAGAGAGGAAGTGACTTTTTAAAAAATCCTCACTTAATGATATGTTTTTATTGATTTGAGAGAGAGAGAGAGAGAGAGAGAGAGAGAGAGAGAGAGAGAGAAACATTGATGTGAGACACTGATTGGTTACCTCCTGAAGCGCTCAACCAGGGATGACACCTGAAACCTAGGGATGTGCCCTGACTGGGAATCAAAGCCACAACCTTTTGGTGTCAGGACAACACTCCAATCAACCGAATCACCAGGCCAGGGCTGAGGAAGTGACTTCTTAAGGTCACACACTTAGTTTTTCTGTTGATTTTCTGAATCCAAGACAAGCTCTCTTCGCACCATATCCGCTGCCTGACCAATCCACAAGAATAAAAATAACCCAAACCAGGCAAGGGGGCCTGTATCTCCTGCGATCATGCTTTGGGATAGCCAAGTCATGATCCCCTCATTCCCCTGTGTCCCTCCTGTTGGATATCTGCCTCGGAGACCCGCCTCCCTGGGCCTGGGGAAACGAATGGGCGGCACCTTTTCTCCAGCTGCCTCCACATCTGGATGGTCAAACATGCAAAGAAAAGCCAGCGCCACAGCCAAGGCTGGCCCGGATCCCTCTGACTCCCTCTAGTCTTCCCACATCTCCCTCCACCCTTCCTAGTAGCCCACCAGGGAGAAGGGGGAACAGTATCATAAATTTCCCCTATTTATACAAGAAGACAGAATGTTTCTTGTGCCAGAAAAAACACAGAGAGGGAGCTGTCAGGGGAGAAGGGACCCAGCTCCACACCGCCTGGGGACAATTCATCTTCCCCAGCCATGCCCTCGGGGCTGCCATAACACTGCCTGTGTGACCCGCAGGCTTTGGCTTGGGGGGCAGCCAGGACCCGCAGTGTCTGGGCTTTGTTTCTGATGGCCACCTTCCTGCTCCATCTCAACTGCTCCCCCTCTCCCCCCACCCCGCTCTCTTTTTTTAAAAACACATTTCTTGAGGTAGAATTCACACACCATACAATTCATCATTAAAACGTAGAATTCAGTGACCTTAGTATATTCCTAGATATGTGCGACTATCACCACGGTTAGTTTTAGAACATTGTCATCGCCTCAAAAAGAAACTCATACCTCTGAATTATCACCCCCTCGCCCTCTCCCCCCAAACTCCTTCCAGCCCTAAGCAAATCCTAATCTTTTTGTCCCTACAGCTTCCTCTAGTCTAGGCTTTTATATGAAGGGAATCATACACCATGTGGTCTTTCCTGACTCACCGCTTTCATTCAGCATCATGCCTGCAGGGTTCCTCCAGGTTGTCGCACGTGTCAGCGCCCCTGTTTATAGCTGACGGATATTGCACTGTGTGGCTGTGCCGCGTCTTGTTCCCCGTTTGTCAGTTGATAGGCACTTGGGTTGTTCCTATCTTTTGGGAATTATGGTTTTTCCCTTTACTCTTCTGTCTCTAGGCAGCTTGAATCATATAGAATGAGCTCTGAGGCCAAGAAGGTTTCTTTTAACGTTTATCCTCACCTGAGGATATGTTTATTGATTTTAGAGAGAGAATAAGGGAGGGAGGGAGAGAAACATTGATTGGTCGCCTCCCATATGCACCCTGACCAGGGATCGAACCCGCAACCTAGCTAAAGTGCCCCCACCGGGAATCAAACCTGCAACCCTTTTGGGTACAGGATGATGTTCCAACCAACTGAGCCACCTGGCCAAGGGAAGCGTGTTTCTTATATGTGGGAGCACCCAACATCCAGGAGAGCAAGGCCTTGGGTCACGTCTTCTTTTGTGTTAATGGTGGCCACTAAGCTGGACTATTGCTCCCTCTGCTAAGCTACCGAGGGGGCAGCTATGTAACTTCTCTCTTTTTATCAGTTGTTATTTTCGTCACTTGCTATATCACTCAGACTGGAGGATTCAGAGCCTCCTCCGGGGGGTTTAGATACACCCAAGTAGATGAATGGATGTCTTCCCACTGGGGAAGAGGTTCCCCGAGTCTGGTCCCCAGCAACCCTCCAGTATCTCACGGCTGAAGGGAGGTCTGTGGAGGCTCCAGGGTCAAGGGAAAGGTTTGTCTTGGAGGCCTGACTGAGCCCAGAATGCAGGCCTCCGGCCCCACCTCCTTGCCCGGCCCATTTCTGTCTTACAAACTGCTTTGAGCTTCATCCACTCACCCACTCAGCAAGCATTCATTGAGCATCTGGAGAACCCAACAGACATTGCCCCTGCTCTCATGAACCTTGCAGTTCTAGTGATGTGGGTAAGATAAGTACAAGTGAGCCAAAGAATGCAAGTTGCATGAACTCTGTAAACCTTTGTTGAATGAATGAACAAATGAATACTTACTATGTGCTCCAGCAAGAAAATGTAAACAAATCTGAGTAATGAGTCAGTTTCCGCAGCCACTACCCTTTCTAGCCTGGATGACAGCACTTACTTCTCCATCCCTCAGAGGGGATGGTGTGCAGACACTGCAAAATATTAGCTAATGGCTACCATTCATTGGACCAGGCAAATACCAAGGGACGTATGTAGCTCACCAATGTTCACCCTTTGAATTAGGTATAATTATCCCCATTTTGAGGATGAGAAAAATCGAGACTCGACAAGATTAGTAACTGTTTGAAATCACACAGGCAGCAGTACATGGCAGCACGTTGGTCCGGACTCTGGGGTGTGGATTTGTTTTCAGTCCCAGCTCTGCATGACGAGTGTATCTCCTTCTGAGGCCCCAGCGCAGAGGGAGCGGGCCACCTCCCCTGTCTGGCCCCTGCGCCGTCCCTTCCCTCCTGCCCAATGGCAAGGAGGGCTGAGGGAGGTGCCAGCTCCTCTCGGGGCTGGGTCCGCTGGCTGTACCTGCCTCCTGGGGAGGAAGGGGAGGACCAGCTTTGCTTTCACAGGCCTTTTCCTTCCAGCCCTTGCAGTGTGGGAGAGACCACACGAGGCCTGGATGTTGTCAAGCAAAGGCCTGAACAAGCCAAAGAGCGGATGATGTTGACAAGAAGGGGACCTCCACCAGGCAGATAATCAGGAGTTGACGATTGACAGCCCGTTAGCATCCCCAGCCCCTGCTAAATCAGGCCTCTGACCTGACCTTGATGACAAATAACACACTTTTAACACATTATAATTTTCACATGCGTTAGTTCACTTCTCACAGAAACAGGAGGTATCCAAGGCCGGGATTATTACCGAAAAAGAAAGTTTGTGGGGCAAGGACCCAAATGTCCTGCTCAATTTTATGTAATGAAATTTATGTAGGGCTTACCATAGACCATGTACTCTGTTCAACATTTCACAACTACTAACTCATCTACTTTTCTTCACCATCGTATAAAGTAGGTATTAATATTATCCACATTTTTTTAAAGATGATGAAACCGAGGCACAGTAATGAAGTGTCTTGCTCAAGGTCATACAGCCGGCAAGTGGCAGAGCAGGGCCTATGAAGCCAGCCGCCTGGCCCCAGGGTCTGTGCAGAATCACTACACCAGGTGGGCTTGGCACGGTGACTCCATTGGGGAACTCCCGTTTGTTTTCCTGGTGACCCCTCCCTTTCCCCCGCTCCCCTCAGTCTTTATGGGCCATTGGAACAAGCCAGCCAGAGCTGTGGCTCCCAAGGTGATGATCCTTCAGCTGCCTCCTTGGCACTGTCACTCCCGCCTCCCGTCTCCTGCCACGGGCTCCAGCCGGGAATACCACAGGCGGTTTGCCATGGATCAAGATTTCTCGGAGAAAGAGCTCATAGAAAGTCTGCCGTGAGAAATGAAGTCACTTTCCCCTCTTCCCTTAGCCGGAGGAGCCAAGTGAAGTCACTGCACATTGGAACGAGGGCTATCCGTGCTCAGCGCTGGCCAGTTCGCAGACACAGGTGGGTCCCTGCGTCCCGTGACTGCATGGAAACGCTGAGGTGTGGATGATTGAAATAAAACTTGTGTAGGAGACTTGTGTGTCATTCATTCAACAGCGCTCCCTGATGTGGGCCCAGGGTGTGCACACGAGCTGTGGGTAGGCTTACTCATTCTTTTATTCACTGTCCACTTATTTATTCAGCAAATTCTGATCGCACCTTAGAGGCACTGAGCTAGAGGTCACCGATGGACAGGGCAGCATTCCTGCCCTGCAGGGCTCAGGCTAGAGAGGAAGGTGCAAGCCGCGTCACGGCAACTTGTGTCAAATACCGAGGTAGGAGTCATTCGGCACCGCCACTTGACATCACTCACCCCAGTGCTGTCCTCCCTTAGCCTCTCCACATGCCCAGCAACCCGTCCCTCAGGCTTCTTTCTGCCTGACCCCGCCTTCCTTGTGAGCTGGACCATTTATGTCAAAGAAGGAGTGTTGGATCTCCTTCCCAATTAGCCACTGCTTGGCTGTAGGCAGCGACGAAGGTGGCAGGAAGCCATGGAGATAAGGCTCCAGGTCAGGAGGGCACCCTGATGGAAGTGGGGGTTGCCTGTGTGCCCCTGTGTCTCCTGGGCCCCGAGGCTGCCCATGCCACCTACCTCACCCTGCTCCTCACCGCTAGTTTCCAGTTGGATTTGGCCAGCAGAGGTCCTGGCAGGGAAGGGAGAGGAGCCAGGCTATGTGTTGCCCGGCAGGGGTTGTGGTTCCCCAATGACCTATGCTTTGCTGGTGACCCCTCCCCGGACCCCAGCTCGAGCATCAGGCTTTGGTGACACTATTTCATTTCTTGCCCCTTTAGGGCTTCCTGGAGCCTCATCAGCCCTATTGGTTCCCTCAGTTCTGTCCATGCCTTGAAAATTGTCCCGTCGTGAACTCTCTTCAGGGAAGCCCCGTTGAATGTGTCATTTGTTTCCTGTTGGAACCCCGATGGGCTTGGGTGCAGAGGAAGGGTCAGAGGAGTTTGGGGCTTCAGGTTGGCGTTGTTACTCTTCTCCTCCAGGCGCCCCCAAGGGCAGAGGGAAGGTCTGCACCAGTGAACGAGCGGCAACTCTCTACTGAGGGTTTTCCTTGACAGATGAGGAACCGCTGGTCCCCGCTCTGGAAGGGAGAATGGAGGGGCAGTGCAGGCACGCGCTACAGGAAGGACTGTGGTTGGGCCAAGGGGAGGGAAGCTGACTGCTGCTGAGGCACACCCTGTGCTGGCGGCTCTGACAGCGGCCTTCCTACCCCCTTCATTCACCAAGTACCGTACCCTCCTTTCATAGCTGAGGAATGTGGCTCAGAGAGGGACAGAGGGAGCAGGCAGGAGATGCATCACCCTGAGTCACTCAGGCAATCTAAGAGATGCCCCACTTTGTGATCAATGATTAGCACTGGGAACCTGGAGCCACACTGATGGATGTGAATCCTGGGTCCAACTCTGACTAGCTGCGTGATCTTGCGCATGCCCCTTGACCTCGCTGTGCCTCCATTTCCCCATCTGTAAAATGGGGCTGATAAAGAAAACCACCTTGCTCAGGGCTGTGCAGACAGTTGGGTGAGTCTGTAGTTAGAAGGGCCTTAGGAGCAGCGCTGGGAACACCACATGTAAGTGTTAAAGATGGAGCCTCGCGCCTTCTTTTCCACCCCCTGCCCTCTTCTCACTGCGCTCCTCCCTGCCTTCTTCCCAAAGTCCTGAGAAAGAGTGAAAAGCCACCGGGCAGTTCCTTGTCCAGTCTGTTGACCTCCAAGCTCTTTGTGAGCGTGACTTACCCTGTCCTGCCCCCAGAAACCACTTTTTTAGCGAGAGCACGAGGACCCGAGACACCCGTCACCCACCCCAGGCCCTGTGCCCAGTGGGATCAGCCTTCATGCTCGCAGGACGGCCTCTTCCTCCCAGCCCCTCAGCTTCCTGGAGCTGTGGGGGGCCTGGGAGCTCCTGGTAACAGCACATTAAGCCCTTGTTTGTGGGAACTTTAATTTAAACACAAATTAGAGACGGCAAATGACTCTGGCAGCCAGATAAGCTATCCCAGGAGAGCAGGGAATAAGCCAAGAGAATCAGTTGAGGTAAGGCCTGACTTTAAACCCAGAAGCTTGGGCTAGGCCCGTGGTCGGTAAACTGCGGCTGGTGAGCCACATGCGGCTCTTTGGCCCCTTGAGTGTGGCTCTTCCCAAGCCTTAGGAGTACCCTAATTAAGTTAATAACAATGTACCTACCTATACAGTTTAAGTTTAAAAAATTTGGCTCTCAAAAGAAATTTCAGCCGGAACCGGTTTGGCTCAGTGGATAGAGCGTCGTCCTGCGGACTGAAAGGTCCCAGGTTCGATTCTGGTCAAGGGCATGTACCTGGGTTGCCGGCACATCCCCAGTAGGAGATGTGCAGGAGGCAGCTGATCGATGT